AGGTGGTGACGCACAGCAAGACGTGCAGCAGCATCGCGAGTGGCCCACTGTGAGCGAACAGTGGCGTCGGCATCAGCAGCAGGGGCAGGGGAAGCACCAGAGGTGAGGTCAAAGAGGGAGAGACCGTCTGCCCAACCGCACTGTAGGAAAAGCTGCAGGTCATCTACCCAGACGTCAAAGTCAATGGCCCGACCCTCAGCGTCAAAAGTGAGAACACTGGGGGTAGCCATGACAGCAGTAGACTAGCAGCGCTAACTGTAGAGCAGGGGCAGTGCGGTGACAGAGGCGCTGTGCTCACCAGACAGGGCGGTTCGGGCAGCTCGGGCGCCTCGGCAGCAACTACGGCTCGGCTGCACCCGCGGCTCGGCTCCTCAGCTGCTCAGGCGGCTCGGGCGGCTCGAGCGGCTCGGGTGGCTCGGGCGGCTCAGGCGGCTCGGGCGGCTCGGGCAGCTCGGGCGGCCCGGGCGGCTTAGTGGCGCGGGCGGCTCGGCTGCGTAGGCGTTCGGGCGGGGCCGTGGGTAGGGCGACAGGGCCGGGTCGAAGGTAGGGCGACGGGGCCGGTGCGCAGGTAGGGCGACGGGGCCGGGGCCGGGGCGCAGGTAGGGCGACGTGGCCGGGGCCGGGCCGTAGGTAGGGCGACGGGGCCGGGGCCGGGTCGTAGGTAGGGCGACGGGGCCGGGGCCTGGCCGTAGGTAGGGCGACGGGGCCGGGTCGAAGGTAGGGCGAGGGGGCCGGTGCGCAGGTGGGGCGACGGGGCCGGGGCCGGGGCGCAGGTAGGGCGACAGGGCCGGGTCGAAGGTAGGGCGACGGGGCCGGTGTGCAGGTAGGGTGAAGAGGGGCCGGGGCCGGGGCGCAGGTAGGGCGACGGGGCCGGGGCCGGGGTCGCACGTAGGGCGACGGGGCCATGGTCGCAAGAGGGGGGCGCGACGGGGCCGGGGTCGCAGGTAGGGCGACGGGGCCGCTAGGGCGACAGATCAGGGGCCGCTAAGGCGGCGCGACGTGGCCGCTAGGGCGGCTCGACGAAGTCAGAGAAGGGAGCGCAACTCGGGCAGAGCGCGCTCCGGGCAGGGAAAAAAAAAAATCGACTTGGTGGGCCCTAGGCACAGTTCCCACTAGGGAACCTGCTCGATACCATGAGAAAACTGAAACGAGAATGAATGAACTATGAGTGAACTGAGTACAAGTACTAACCCTAATTGGGTTATACCCCTTATGGGCTACCCCGCTATAGCCTACACAATAAGTACAAACTATATGTCCTGACAGCCACCACCACCGGTTCTCGTACAGGATGAACCTGAGTACGAAGTGGAGCGCGTTCTCACTCATCGGCGCCGCGGCGGCAAGACCCTCGAGTTCCTGATACGTTGGAAGGGATACGACCCCACTGAGGACGGTTGGGTTGCAGAAGCTGATATGGGCAATGCACGCCGTGCTCTCAAGGACTATCTTGTCAAGCAGGGTGTATCTCACGCCACCCAGCTTTGAGGGGGGGACGTGTGAGAGTACGACGGCTTATGCCAGCTATGCTTGCTTGCCTTTACTTTATTATGCTATTTCTAGCATAGGATAATTATATGCATGCATGAATTGCTTGATTTCCTAGGCTAGGTGCTTTCCTATATTTTATTATAGTTATAGCACCGAGCTAGGTTGTGTGCACCGAATTCTGGCTTTTCGGTTGCCACCGAATTGCCTTCTACCGAATTCGGTAAGGATCTGTTCGGGACGCTTCGCGACCCGCGGAACCTTCGCGTAACACATGGTTACGGGGCCTTGTGTCGAGCCTATATATAGCCTCGTGTTGTACCCAGGTGATCATTCAATTCATTCAATTACAATTCTCTTTTCTGAGCTCGATCCTAGATCCTCACACCAACGGTTGGATGGACACGGACGGCGTCCTCGCGTGGCTCGACAATACTGTGGGCCCGTACGTCAACCCGAGGTTCGGAGTGCGCAGCAGGAGGGCGATGCTGGTTCTTGACTCCTACCGCCGGCACCTGACTGATGAAGTGAGGGCAAAATTCGGCGAGCTGCGCATCGTTCCGGCCGTCATACCAGCTGGCTGCACATCGGAGGTGCAGCCCCTGGACGTCGCGGTGAACCGCTCCTTCAAAGTAGCTGTGCAACAACAGTACCAGGAATGGTTTGAGAGCGAGGGTGTTGACTGCCTGACCAAAAGAGGTGAGATTTGATTTAAGGCCTGATTGTTTTTCAACTGTTCACCCTGTTCTAACTGATGGATTTTTCTATGTGTGGCAGGCAACATCCGCAAGCCACCACCAGAGCTGACGCTCAAGTGGATCTCCAAGGCCTCGAAGGCGGTGCCCAAGGAGTTGATTGAGCGCTCGTTTCTCACCTGTGGCATCAGTAACGCCTTGGACGGGTCTCAGGACAGTCTCTGCCTGCAGCACCAGCGGGACGCCGTCAAGGGCGAAGTGGATCTTGACGACGAGATTGCAGCAGATGGATTCTGCTGCAACAACGTAGACGAGCCAGAGTCGGATGGTGAGACAGCCCAGGAGGGCACCGCCACTGCTGAGGAAGATGCCTAGGTTGTGTAGGTAGAGTAGAAATGTGTAGATATTGAAAAATGTGTACGGTAATAGGGGTGCGCTTATATTCCGTAAAGCCTCGAGTGTGCGCTTATAATCGAGGAGCGGATATAAGCGCCCCTCATCCATTTATAAGCGCCGGCGCTTATCCGAGGCCTGCGCTTCTATCCGGGGGCTTACGGTATTGAGAGAGAGAGAGTGAGGAAGAGAGAGTTGCACAGCTGAAGCAGTTGGAGCGGCCTCTATAAGTGCAGAGGTGTGCTGCAGCGCGTCAGCAGCGAGTTTTATTACTAATGGGGTCCGTGATGGGAGCCGCGACGGGCGCAACTGGGGCCGCGATGAGGGCGCCACCAGGGACACATGCTTAGAATCTTTAGCTCTAGATACCATGTTGAAAGAGCCATAGGAGCTTGAGTAGGTTTTGAGAGTCACGGAAACTGAGAAAAAAACGACGGTTTGCACTGAGAAGGGAGAAATACACGCAAGGGGCAAGGGCAAATAAAAATAGAAATGACTACACCAACATACTAATACAAATGACTACACTAGTCTATGCTACAAGCAGATATATAGAAATATATGTAGTTCAGGTGGTGAAGTACTGCAGCCGCTTCTGCTTGTCAACCAGTTCTTCGGTGCCCAGGGTCCTCGACATCAGACATTTTTGTCTGTTTGTCTTAGTTTCCAGACGATTTTTTTTCCAGTTAATCTGATTTTCAAGGAATGATTTATTTTTTCATCTGATTGAGTAGAAATGATTTTTTGTCTTCATCTGATTCATCAGAAATGTAATATATGTTTCGTCTGAAATCGAAACATGTTAGGGCATGTTCCTACGGCCCCTTATCAGGGCCGCCTCTTATCAGCCTCGCTAAATTCACCTGTAATTCGGCTGGAGCGAGAAACCTCTTGTCAGATAAACTTGCCGGTTTGCAGTTGTGTGCGAACTTGAAAGTTGGATGATGTGGCACAGTGCCGCGAAACCGTGGGCATCAAATTGTGACGTCCCATGAGAACCGCGATCCGTTCAATATGCGACATTGCCACATCAGCGTAAAACGCATTGCACAAAATACAAACCCAACAACCCACGTAGTCTCAACCAAGCAACAATCGTTCACAGATAAAAGCACGCACAAACCATCAAAAGAAATAACAACTCCGGGAATCTAGCACGCGTAGATTAGACCGGGGAGGCACCATGACCGATGTTCCGTTCCTCCCACGCCTGCTAATAGTATGGCATGCGTTTTACTTCAGCTCCTTCTTAGACTGTGCCACGAAGGCCTGCATTCAACTGCTAGAGCACATCGACGCCGCGGAGCAGGAAGAGACATGTGTAGAGTCCCGAAGTGACCTGCGCACGCGGAACCGCCAACTACGGCGGCGGAGACTAGACGTGTGGGAGGATGAGATGGCATCGATGTCGGACGAGACGTTTACTGACCTGTTCCGCATAAACCGGGCCATATTAGACCACATATGCGAGGGAATGCACCATGTATTGCACCCTGTCATACATAGGCACGCACTGCCTATCCGAGTAGCTATTCTGATCCCAATAAAATACTTTGCGAGCGCCATGGCGTACATCGACCTTGCTTTCTGGTTCGGGGTCCCTAAAACGCTATGTCATAGGCTTGTTGATTTGTTTTTGCAGAATTTCCCGCGCGTTTTTAAGAAGGCCTGGGTCCGATTTCCAACGCAAGACGAGATGCGGGTCATGGCGGAGGAATTTAAAAGCATCAAAGGTGTTCCAGCGGTTATTGGTGCCATTGATGGCACCCATGTCCAGATCCGGGGAATGGAAGGGCATCGGTCGGAGTATTATACACGCAAATCACAGTATGCCGTACAGCTGCAAGTAACATGCGACGCTAGAGGAATTATCTGGGATTATTTGATAGGCTTTCCGGGCACAGCTCATGACCAGCGGGTGTTCATACAATCCAACCTCTACAAACGACTGGAAAATGGTGACATCGCCCCATACCAGCTAGTCGGCGATGCAGCTTATCCCCTCCGCGACTATTGCCTCACGCCATTGCACGCTCAGACTGGCCGCCTCATGCTCGAGTGGCAGCAGACATTCAACTACTGCCAATCTGCAACCCGCATGTCCGTGGAGCGCACGATCGGCCAGTTCAAGGGCCGGTACCGGCTGTTCGCCGGCCGTCACGATTGTGCGCTCTGGCGGGTTCTCGCCGGCGCCAGTTGTGTGGTTATCCTGCACAATATGGGCATTGGGATGGCAGGGCCATGCATGAAGACCCCAAACATCAGATGGGCGGCTATTTCACTCACCCGGGACCCGTGGTGGACGCGCGGAGAACTCGCCGAGTATAAGTGGGAGGCGTGTGACATTGTCACGCCGTTCGAACTGAAGGAACGCCGTAAAAGGCTCGGAATGGCACTGCATGACGCATACCTTAAACGACATCGTCAGCACCGCCACTCCTCAACCTCGTCGCCCTCCGTGGCATTGTCTGCGTCCGGCCATGCGTTGTCATTGCCAGCACGTCCGCAGGAGAAGAAAAGCGGGCGACTAGTTTGAGACTGCTGGCTTGCCATCCACTCCCGGATTACTCCGGTGATCTGGGAGACGCCCTCCTCTGAGCATCGCGTGAGAGTGTCAGCCAAAAGTTGAGCAGCCGCCATAGTTGCTGTCTCGTTGATGCGACGTTTTGCGCTCGGGGGTGTGCCGCGGCCTGCAGGCACATAGGCATTGGGGTGGAAAAAGTGTACACAATTTGAAATGCCTTTTTTGAAATCGCGAGGGTGATTGTGTACTTTGGTTTAGTAGCAAACGGTGAACTTCAACTTAGTCACATCCCCGTTCTGAATAACTCACATGTTGTAGTCGTAGCGTCGGTTTTCGCGGGCTTAGGGATGTTCAGGCCTGGATCGACGGTAACGTCGTCAGCACCGCCACCATCCAGTGCGTGCGGGTCCGCCGCTGCAGTGTCCTTATAGAAAAGGACCATCCACTCCCACCACGGGGGCTTGATGACAGTTGCCCCACCCGACGCAGAGTCCCCCTTCGTCACCTGCTTCCACAAGGCCTTCAACCGTTTCCACTGGTTGGTGCACGCGGTAGCGTTGCGGCTCCAGTCGGGGTGCTAAAGCTTAATGTGCTCGCAGAGACGCAGCCAGTATTGGGAGCCTTGCTTCCCAGTCATCTGCTGCAGCTCGACCTTCGTGAACCAACGAGCTGCAACAAGGATGGTCGACTCCTTCAGCGTCCACTCAATACGAGCGCTAGGCCCCGGGCTGCTGTTCACCTTAGCAGGGCTGCGCACTGCAAACTTTCCCTTCCGCTTCCGGTCAGAGCGCGAGGCAGCCGCAGATTGATCGTGATCGGCTTGAGCAGCTGTTGCATCGTCCTGATCAGGGCCGTTGTATTCAGCAATGCCGTGCCAAGCGGCAACGGCATCGTCGCGATCGGAGCCGGCAGCATCGTCCTCATCGTCCGAATCCTTCTCAATGTATTCGTCGTCCGTGTCGTATTCACGGGGCAAGACTGTCGCTTGCTTCGGGGTTGAGCTCGCGGCTCCCACGCTACGTAACGGACGGGCGGTTGGTTTTCCGGCCGCGATTTCGGCATTCATCCATTTGACATAGGCTAGGTCCTCCACACTCCAACCTTCGTCGTCTGCTGGGCGAACTGATCCTTTGCGTTTGCGTGCCATGGCTAGCTGCTGAAGATTGATGAAAATGTCCCTGATCTATGTCACGGTTTTGTATGCTTTGACAGATCTATGCACTTCGATGTTGTTGTTGGTTCCTTCTTTGCTGTGGTTTGTGGAACGTGTCGAACGTGCTGGTGCACTGGATGGCTGTGTGGCGGGAATTGAGATAAATGTTGGGAATCGTGAAAAATGAGCACGTAAGCTTCCCGTTGCACATTCGCCACGTCACAGTCGTGCGCAGGTTAAAGTGACGGGCGAGACTCATGCTTTGACGCTTACGCGATTCTGTGGACGTGCACAGTGGGTTCCGCGTTGTTGAGCGACATGGTGCGGTCGATTTCATTCATGCGCGTTCACGGTACAAGCCTGACAAGAGGCGTACTATAACGTGCGTACAACAAATATGCGAAGCTGATAAGAGGATGCCCTGACAAGGGGCCGTAGGAACATGCCCTTAGAGTACGGGGATTTCCCGCAGAACATGCTCTGACAGGGCAAATCTATTGTCAAAGTGAATCTGCTGTGTTGTGTAAGGTCGAATCTCTTGTGTCAGGACGAGTTTTCTATGATTGGATGAACATGTTGCGCTCTAACGTCGCGAATATGCCGTGTCAGAGCAAATTTGCTCTGATTGGGCGAATATTTTGTGCTCTGACAGGGCGAATCTGCCGTGTTAGGGTGATTTTGCTGAGACCAGTGAAGTGCGAATCACACTGTAAGGAAAATCTCTTTTTCCTTACTTCGCGTCCCTGCTCAACGCGTACATCACTGTAGCACCACAGTCAGCACCGTTACCACTCGCAATCCTCGCATCGACAATCCGCCCGCCACCTTCGCACGTCGCACCCCGACCTCACGGCTCGGCGGGTAACCCGCGCTCCGGGCCTCCGCTTCGACACTTTTCCCAACCTCAGTCCCAGGCCCGTCGCGCGACAACCACAGTCCATTACCGTTACCACTGTAGTTTCGCTATATATTATTCGCTCATGCCTTCGCTCATTGTACACTTGCTTCGATAGTGCAATTCTCGTTCGTTCACTCAATTGCACTCGTAACACACACCAGTTTGTACTGCGAATGAATGTGAAAGGTCCAGAAAAGTCAGACTCACCTTGTTATCCCACGTGCATCTACACGCTAGAAACTCTATTTTAATTGGTCAGACAAGTTCTTTTGAAACTTCTGATGCATCAGACACGCAAAGGCGAAATATCTGATGCATCAGACGGGCCCGAAGGGCCCGTCTGACGCATCAGGGGGGTTCAAATCCTAGCGAGGACCCTGTCGGTGCCTTGCAGTGATCCCAGGAGGAAATGTCAGCTATATATGCAGCTCAGGTGGTGATGCTATCACAGCCACCTCGGCTTGTCAACCAGTAGTTTGGTGCCTTGGCAGGCAGTGATTCCAGTAGTCGTCCTCAGCTACACATGCCGCTGTTTGTCGGCTAGTTGTTTGATGCCTTGGCAGTGATGCCATGAGGACACCTCAACTGTGGGTAAATGATGCAGCTCAGGGGGCGATGTTATTGCAGCCGCTTCTGCTTGTCAACCAGTAGTTTGATGCCTTGGCAGTGATCCAGGAGGGGACCTCAACGGGAGATGCTGCTCAGGTGGAGATGCTAATGCAGCCGCTTCCGTCCTTTCCCCATGCCTCGGCTCCTCAGCAATCCGAAGCTGCTTCCGAGCCTGCTCCCGCCCACCAAGCCATTGGTACTTGCTAATCCCACAACAGAGCTCCCACTAGACATCCCTCCCAACCCTCCTCCTCCCAACCCCCCTCCTCCCAAACCCCCTCCTCACAAACCCCCTCCTCCCAAACCCCCTCCTCCTAATCCTCCTCCCAAACCGCCCCCTCCTCCCAACCCCCCTCCCCCCAACCCCCCTTCTCCCAGCCCTCCCCCTGTCCCCCCCCCTGTGCTATTTGAAGGGGCGATGCAGGTCTGGCAGAAGGAGGTGCAGATGATGCGGCAGAAGCTGTTGGGATAAGTTCGTGCGGCCAGCTTCTTGAGTTGGGCAGAGCAGTTGGTGCCGTCAGCAGGGCATGTGAGCGTGCTGTCGACCTTTCTGCAAGAGGCAGACCGTGGGCGGGTGACAGAGGGAAAGGTGAGATGATTTTCGAGTCAGCTTAAATTTTGCTGTCAGCGGGGCATGTGAGCATGCTGTCGACCTTTCTGCAAGAGGCAAGACCGTGGGCGGGTGACAGAGGGAAAGGTGAGATGATTTTCGAGTCAGCTTAATTTTTTCTGTCAGCAGGGCATGTGAGCGTGCTGTCGACCTTTCTGCAAGAGGCAAGACCGTGGGCGGGTGACAGAGGGAAAGGTGAGATGATTTTCGAGTCAGCTTAAATTTTGCTGTCAGCAGGGCATGTGAGCGTGCTGTCGACCTTTCTGCAAGAGGCAGACCGTGGGCGGGTGACAGAGGGAAAGGTGAGATGATTTTCGAGTCAGCTTAAATTTTGCTGTCAGCGGGGCATGTGAGCGTGCTGTCGACCTTTCTGCAAGAGGCCGGATCCTGAGGGGGTGACGGAGGGAAGGGTGAGACGGATTTAAAGATGCTGTCAGCGGGGCATGCGAGCGTGCTGTCAGCAAGGGTGCAGGGTTGGCATGTGAGACCTTTCTGCAAGAGGCCGAATCCCGAGGGGGTGACAAAGGGAAGGATGCAGGGTTGGTGCGAGAAGAGAAAACGAAAAGCTCGTTACGTATTTTGCAATCCCTAAAAATTGTCAGGCGGAGGAAAGCCCTTGACGCACTGCCATGGAGGCACACGAGTTACGTCAGCAGAAAGAAAGAAAAAAAAGAACCTTGTATGTTCATTCTGAGAATTCTTAAAGTGAACCAGAAAAAAAAAAGAGGCCTTGGTGCCGTGTCATGCAGGCACACGAGAGAAGTCGCCAGAAGGCCCAAGCTTAGAACCGGCACAGGGAGAGTACATACAGGCGAACCCTGGCACTCGTAGGGTTTAGGATTCTTGAAGGTGGTTCAGATCGTGCACTCACATTTCTGCAGTGAAGTCGCCAAGATAGGCCGGAAGCTGCCCTTCAAAGTGGTTGTCTGACAGGAGGCTGCGTTACATGAGATTGCACAAGGAGGAGTTGAGGGGGAGTGAAACATCATTTTTGAGGCGCCTCGGAAGTCGCCAAGATAGGGCGGAAGCCTCTGTATGAGTCGACTCAAAAACAGCCCCCCTTCAAAGTGGTTGTCTGACAGGGAGCTGCATCACATAAGATTGCACGAGGGGTTCAAGGGCAGTTATGAGACGTCTCAAAACCGAATCGCTGCGTTGCACGAAATTGCACGAGGAGTTAAAGGAGAGTGAAACGTCACTGGAAAAAGGCACCGGCTATGAAAGCATCACTGAAAAAAGGCACCGACTATGAAAGCATCACTGGAAAAAGGCACCGACTATGAAAGCATCACTGGAAAAAGATGGGCCCAAAAGAAGCTATCGTGATCCTGGTTGAGTTGAGTTCAGACAGTGAGGTAGTTAATTGTACATCAACTTGACTCTTGCCAGGACTGCACTGCTTTATTCTTTTGCTGCAGCGTTTTCTCAGAAGTTTGCTGCTACTCCCATCATGAACCTCGATCTCTTGCCAAGAATGCACTGCTTTATCCTTCTCCCCAGACTTGTGGCACTGATGTAGCCTAGGCGGCCAGTAGAACCCCTCCTTACAGTGCTGACATGGACCAGTTGAAAGCAGAGGAAGGCAGAGGTCCTGAGAGGTTGTTTCGCCGCAGGTCACTGAAAGGAGGAACCAGCAGGAAGCAGCAAGAAGAGCGAGAGAAGATTTGAGACGTCTCGAACTGAGGGTCCTGAGACGTTGATTCGCCGCAGGTCACTGAAAGGAGGAAGCAGCAAGAAGAGGTTGATCTCTGAGGCGGCTCAAAGACAGAAATGCTGGACTGCCACGGCTCCCATGCCCCCAATTCCCATGCCCCAACTCCCATGCCCCAACTCCCATGCCCCAATTCCCATGCCCTGCTTACAGGGCATAGAGGTTCTTCAACAGTGATATGGATGCAGGAAGAGACCCTGTCAGGCTGTTGCCTGCCAGGTAGCTGAAACGACAAGGGACAGAGGAGGGACAGAGGAGGGACAGAGGAACAGAGGTGGGAGAGATGAGTGACAGAGGAGGGACAAAGGAGGAGGGACAGAGGAGGGATAAAGGAGGAGGGACAGACGAGGCCCACATGCAAAGAGGAAGATAATCTGTTGTGAGACATGAAAAGACTACAGCAATGGGTCTCGGCTTACAGGGTATCCAAGTCAGTCAGAAGGCCGATAGACTCTGGAATGCTTCCGCTGATGCGTCTCGAGTCGACTCAAAGGAAGGTGGACAGAAGTGTGGTCTCGACTCGGCTTACAGGGTATCCAGGTCAGTTAGAAGGCCGATAGACTCTGGAATGCTTCCAGTGATGCTGTTGTTGCTGAGATCGCTGCATTCGTGCAGAATTGCAACGGGAACAAAAATCCGGATATGTTATTTCATAGATGGCACAATCTGAGACACCGGGAAGGCAAACAGAAGCAGCGAATTCCGAGTCGACAAAAAAATCGGACAATCTGAGACGCAGCGAAGGCAAACAGAAACAGCAGTTCTTGGCAAGAGAGCCCATGCATACCTATAGCACTCAGCAAATAAGATAATTTAGACATTTCAAATCGCAAACAGCAACGCATGCGTACAGCCAAAAGAGCTTGGCGAAGTTTCCGAGTGAGGAGGGCAGAGAGCCGTTGATTCCGTTGGCAGAGAGATCGCTGAAGGAAGGAGATTAGAGGAGACAACAGGAGGCATGGGATACATAAGAGGAGAGTAGGAGAATGGGAGAGGAGGAGAGTAGGAGACACGAATAAGTAAACGGTTATTAGGAGGACACCGTTTACTATCAAATGTGATGTGATAGTATGAGCCTCTGCTGTATCTCCTACTCTCGTAGTGATGTGACGTGATGTGACGTGACATGACGTGACGTGATGTGATGTGATGTGATGTGATGTGATGTGATGTGATGTGATGTGATGTGATGTGATGTGATGTGATGTGATGTGATGTGATGTGATGTGATGTGATGTGATGTGATGTGTTGTACATCGCCAGAGTGACTTTTGAGTCGATTCAAAAGGCAGGCGTGGCTCTGGTCGCATCGGTCCCTCTGCTTCCATTCCATCGAGCTTCCATCCCATTTGCATCATGCTTACATCATGACAAGAGATGAGAGGTTGGTGAGGAAGGTGGGGAACGAGCCGGAGAGCTGGTTGTTGGACAAGGAGCTGCGGGAAGAGGAAGGAAGAGGAAGGAAGAGAAAGGAAGAGGAAGGACAAAGAACACAGGGAGTGCCGCAAGGAGGAATGTATGTATGAAGGAACAGGTGGAGGAAGCATGGAACAGGTGGAGGAAGCATGGAAGACCGCATGGGAGAACGCAGTTCAGTACTTTGCTCAACCCTGGCTCTGTTTGGCACTTGCATTCCCGCAATGGCTACCTTCTAAGTCACTTCAGAAGCAGCTACATTGCCTTCAGCTATATTCCCTTCTAAGTCACTTCAGAAGCAGCTATATTCCCTTCTAAGTCACTTCAGAAGCAGCTATATTCCCTTCTAAGTCACTTCAGAAGCAGCTATATTCCCTTCTAAGTCACTTCAGAAGCAGCTACATCGCCTTCTAAGTCACTTCAGAAGCAGCTATATTCCCTTCTAAGTCACTTCAGAAGCAGCTACATCGCCTTCTGAGTCAGCTCAACAGACGCAATGCCTTACATGCCCTCTAGCGCTTGGAGCTTTGCAAACGTGGGATGCAGAGAGCCGTTGAGGTAACACATGGGGTAACCTCGGCAGCTAAGTCAACTCAACTAGCAACATTGCCTTACATGCCCTCTAGCGCTTGCAGCTTTGCAAACGTGGGAGGCAGAGAGCCGTTGAGCTTTGCAGACTTGATATCGCTGCAGCAAAGAGGGCATGGAAGGGGGGCATGGATGAAGGGCATGGAGAGGGGGCATGGAGGGGGGCGGACTTTTGAGGCGTCTCAAGCACGGGAAGCAGAGAGCCGTTGAGCTGAGCTTTGCAGACTTGATGTCGCTGCAGCAAAGAAAGCATGAAAGGGGGTAGTGTTGGATTTGAACCAGCAAACTGAAGTAGGTTGAGAAATGCCATGGGAACAACAACATTGCCCTGACAGAATAAGTCATAAGCTCACTCACAGCATCACGAGTGATTTTAGGGATCCCATGGTTGAAGGTACATTCCCTGAGATGGGGTTGTAAGACAGGTCCCTGCTTCGTGCAAGGGTGGTGGTAGTGGTAAGGATTGGGGAGAGGGTTTAGTTGGTGCAGGTCCAAATGTGAGAGCACATGCTAGCTGCAAGGTGCACAAGAGAAAATGGCATGGGCTGACAGCGAGAGCCGGTTTTGAGAGTTCTCAAAAACCAACACACGCTAGCTTATATGTAAGGTGCGCAGGAGAAAATGGCATGGGTGACAGCGAGAGCCGGTTTTGAGAATTCTCAAAAACCAACACACGCTAGCTTTCATGTAAGGTGCGCAGGAGAAAATGGCATGGGTGACAGCGAGAGCCGGTTTTGAGAATTCTCAAAAACCAACACACACTAGCTTTCATGTAAGGTGCACAGGAGAAAATGGCATGGGTGACAGCGAGAGCCGGTTTTGAGAATTCTCAAAAACCAACACATGCTAGCTTTCATGTAAGGTGCGCAGGAGAAAATGGCATGGGTGACAGCGAGAGCCGGTTTTGAGAATTCTCAAAAACCAACACACGCTAGCTTTCATGTAAGGTGCGCAGGAGAAAATGGCATGGGCTGACAGCGAGAGCCCGGGGCGAGGGCGAGGGGCTGGGATTGGAATGTGAACGATGGATGAACTTTTGAGAATTCTCAAAAATGACTCCCATGCTCACAGTCGCATCAGGCCCAGGGTAACATCTAGGAATATCGGGTTTGAGGAGATACTGGGGCATGGAATGTCTGTCAAGGATGGAAGAATTTCAGCTTCTTGTGGGGCATGCTATGAAGCGTACAAGGATTTGAGCTTCTTCAAGGAGCCAATGCCACGAGGTATAGCGCCAGTGATGAGGTTGGCCCTTAAATTCCTGTATTATTATCATGCACACATCGTTTCACATGCCCCGCCCCGCCCCACCATGCCATTCATCACAGGCAGGCACACAGCAGCATGCAAACAAGGCATGCCATCATGGGTACACACAGCGAAGGATAACATGCAAGCAAGTCCATTCAACATGGGCACACAAGAAATAAATATACTTTGGAGAGTGAGTGAGTGAGTGAGTGAGCAAGTGAGCGAGTGAGCAAGCGAGTGAGTGAGTGAGTGAGTGAGTGAGTGTGGTCACATAGTCAACCCATAAAAAGCATATAAAATACTACGACAATACAGCCATTAGCTTAGCACCGATCCACAGCTCGGTTCGAGGAGGAAAACCCTCTGCATCTATTTCTTTCTAGACTTCTCAATAGGAAAATCATCACTGGTGATTTGGTTAAGGCCCTGGCGGTTTGACCCATACCAAGACTGGTTCAGCCGGTTCGACATGGCTTGGTTCGGACAGACGTGTTCAGTACCTACTCATGCTCACTACAATATTTAGCAACGTAGAAAGCAACACTTACAGAAGAACAAGGTTAGAGAGACTTGAGATGGAAGCAGGCAAGGAGCCGTTGAATGCGTTGCTTTGAAGGAACCTGGACAGTGAGTAAACACATGCAATGCAGATGGGCGTGATTGGAAATGTCCATTGTTTCACAAACATAAGAACCATTTATCATCGAAGAGGTTCTACCACATAGTCTAATGTAATGAAGTGAATTTTGAGTCAGCTCAAAAGTAACCCGGGCCAGGCTGGCCTGGCTTCAGATTGCCATAGGGGCTGGGCTGTCCTTCCCAGCCAGTGCTTCCTCTGTAAAGCACGTACAATGGAAGAAGAAGAAGAAAAAAGACTGGAAAGCTAGCAAGCCGCAGCTTACAGTCCACTTAGAAGGCAAGTCCACTTAGAAGGCAAGTCCACTTAGCCGAAAAAGAAGAAGAAAAGGGACTGGAAAGCAGCTTACAGCCCACTTAGCCGCTTCAGATTGCCGATGGAGACCGGAAGGTAGGAGTTGAAGGAGTTGAAGGCAATATTGCTGTTCCATGGGGTCGTTTGGAGGGGTACAGAACGGTACAGAGGCAGAGATGGAGAGTAGAGGACTGTGAGGTGGACAGGGAGAGAGATGAGAGAGAGTTGCACGAGTTTTATGCAAAACACAGGGCCTCATGAAGAACATGCATAGTTATGAGCGTCTCAAAACCAGATCATGCATGTGGCCGCCAGCCAGCCCACCACCACGCATGGGAATTCTCACACTCGCAGCACAAGAGAAACAGACCCTAGTGCAGTTGACCGTTAGGCAGACACGAAGGGGTGTGAGGGGTGCACACTGCACATCATGTCAATTGCTGTGGTGTGGGTGTAGCAGAGGAAATCAACCATGTTCAGGCTCGGCGATGGCCTTCAACAGCAATGGACTCTGCCCTTCAACAGCAATGGACTCTGCCCTTCAACAGCAATGGACTCTGCCCTTCAACAACTTGCGTCTTAGGCAGACATGAAGGGAGGGAGTGAGGGGTGGGGTGCACATCGTGTCGATCGTTGTGGAGTGGTGTGGGTGAATTCGATTTTTTTTTTTTTCTAGAGATACGAATTCAGGCAGACACGAAGGGGAGTGAGTCTGAGTGAGTGAGGGGCGCACATTGTGTCGAGACCTCGCAGGGAAGCGAGAGGAGCGATGGAGCCTGAGAGATTGTTGTTGCTTAGATCGCTGTGGGTGTGTGTGATATGAGGAGGGGGGGGGGGGGGGGGGGGGGGGGCGGGGGGGAGGACATGCGTTGTGTGGATGGGCAGGGAAATGGGTGTGTGTGACAGTCGTGTTCCAAAAGGCACCACTGAGTCAACTTAAAGGCAACACTGAGAATCACCATAGACCTACATCGATGCTAGCCTTTGGAGTGATCTGAGCTTTGCGGGGATGGAGGAGTTGAGCTGGTTTACAGAGAGGGACCTGTGAAAGAGGGAGAACACAGGCGAGTGGAAAAGGGGATAAGCTGGACTTTAGAATTCTCAAAGACAAATGTAGGTTATTGAGCCAATTCAACATGGGGTGTTTCACCGATGGGGTGTTTTACCAATGGGGTGCTTTGCCTATCGGGTGTTTCACGGGTCGGGAGTTTCACGGGTCGGGTGTTTCACGGGTCGGGTGTTTCACCCATGGGGTGTTTGCGTTCCTCAAAATCTGCGTCTATCTGGCCGCCTGTTGCCACTTTCAGCAGCGGGCTACAGGTGTGTGTGTGTGTGAGAGCATACAGGAGTGTGAGAGCGTACAGAGCGTGGGAGCATACAGGAGCGTGAGAGAGAGCATACAGGAGGGTGAGGGCAGTGAGTGCAGAGAACGACTCGGGAATGGGACCCTCCAGATTGTTGCTGATTAGTTTTCTGATGGAGAACGTGAGAACACAGGAAGGAATGTGGGAAATAAATGGAGCGAAAGTGAGAACACAGGAAGGGATGTGGGAAATAAATGGAGAGAACGTGAGAACACAGGACGGAATGTGGGAAACAAATGGAGCGAAAGTGAGAACACAGCAAGGAATGTGGGAAGTAAATGGAGAGAAAACGAGCTTAGAACCCCCCAGCTCCTAGCGGACCGATTTCCTGGCAGGGACACGTGTCCTGGTAAGGAACATAGTTTCCGTTCAGAGGGGCATCGAAGAAGCATCGATAAGATAAGGCAGGTGTTTGGACAACAAGGAAGGCGAGCATGTGTGAGCAGAGCTGATGTAACAAGCAAGAACTAAAGAAGCAAGCAGGGCAAGAAGTGTCCGTGGTGTGGCCATTCTAGAGGATCTGAGTTTATTTTAACGAATCAGAACTGGAATGGTGTCACATACAAGTTCGTCTTTCAGTCACCTACAAGTGACGCAGCTTCTTGAGTCGGCTGAAGGCGGTCGGGATGCCGCCACCGCTGACTGCTGATTCCATGTGCCTGTGAGAAGGGAGGGCGGGAGGGAGGGAGGGAGGGAGGGAGGGATGGAGGGAGGGAGGGAGGGATGGAGGGAGGGAGGGAGGGAGGGAGGGAGGGAGGGAGGGAGGGAGGGAGGGAGGGAGGGAGGGAGGGAGGGAGGGAGGGAGGGAGGGAGGGAGGGAGGGGCGGAGGGAGGGAGGGGGGTGCGGAGGGAAGGAGGGGGGGAGGGAGGGAGGGAGGGAGGGAGGGAGCGAGGGAGGGAGGGAGGGAGGGAGGGAGCGAGGGAGGGAGGGAGGGAAGGAGGGAAGGAGGGAGGGGTGTAAGCTGTTGTGGCCTCTAGCAGAGAAATCAAAGGATTCGAATTGCAGCAAAGAGAAGGGGGAAGAGAAGGGAAGCAGGGTGTAGGTTGCTATGGGTCGTTGTAAGATCACCTGGACGAAACGGCCTGAGCAGAGGGAGGACTGGAGCAGGAAGAACGGTGGAGAGAGAAAGTAGAGCAGGGGTGTTGGGTTGGATGAGGGGAAGAGGGGAGTGATGGCTAGTTAAGGAAGGAGATGAGGGCTGTTAGAGAATGAAGGAACTGTAAAAGACGGACAGAAAGGCTCCGAGCAGGAGGGGAGGGGGCGAGGGGAGGGAGAGGAAGAGACGGGAGCGGCGAAAAGGGAACGCGTGACTGGTAGATGCGGAAGGTAAGGAATTGGGGGCAGATGATCGACAGGTGGGGGAGGTGACTGACAGGTGGGTGAGGGAAGCAAGTGAGCCAATGAGAGATGGAATGCTGGACAAGCCACCACCGCCACCATAATTGCTCATTCTCCTGCTCGGGTGATGGTTGTGGGAGTCAGGAAGGCAGGGTTGGGAGGGATGAAGGGAGGCTCCGAATAGATGTATGGCGGTATGCATAATGTATGATACTTCTTATGCAAGCCTGTGCGTATGCTCTGCCTGCCCTAGTCTAGACTCACCGTAACGACCCTCGCTCGCAGTGAGGAGACTATTTTGCGGCGCCTCAGAACTACACACTTCTCTTAACGCTCTGCCCTCTCTGCTCACTCAAGCTTGTACGCAATGCCTCTTAGTGCAGGCGCCTCAGAAATACACGCGTCTGTGAACGCTCTGCCCTCTAGTCTAGAGTCATTGTAGCAGCGAGGCTACCGTCACTCACAGTGACTCCAGGCGTGAGAGTCGGAGAACGTCGGAAGGCAGCTCAGGCATAGAGTAGAGAGACCTGGAAGGGGGGGAGAGGAGATGGGGAGGGGAAGAGGAAATGGGGAAGGAGGTGAAGAGGAGGGGGGTAACGGTGGGGAGAGGCGTGAGCGTTAAAGAATCTCGGAAGGCAGCTCAGTCGTGAAGTAGAGAGACCTGGAAGGGGGGAGAGGAGCCAAGAGGGGTCGGGAAGTTTGCTTGCTTTTAGCGTGTGGGGGGGGAGGGGGTGGGAGACGAGGGGGGGAGGAGAGAGCGGGGAGGGAGGAGAGGGGTGGAGAAGCAAGAGGAAGAGGAGGAAGAGGAGGAGGAGGAGGAGGAGGAGGAGGAGGAGGAGGAGGAGGAGGAGGAGGAGGAGGAGGAGGAGGAGGAGGAGGAGGAGGAGGAGGAGGAGGAGGAGGAGGAGGAGGAGGAAGGGTGGAGGAGGAGGAGGAGGAGGAAGGGTGGGGTGGGGGCGGTGGGTGAGCGGGAGTTCTCAACCGTGACACTCACACACACGAGGCTAATCTGAGTCGTAAAAAGAGAGCTTGGAGAAGGCGGGGAGAAGGGAAAGTGGGGGGGGGGGGGAGGGGAGGGAGAAAGTGTAGGGGTGAAGGGTATTGGGGGGGTGGGGAAGGACGGAGAAGGAAGGGAGGAATGAGGTCAGGAGGAGGCAGATCGGAGGCTGGGACGTATGGAAAGAGAGTCATGGAAAGAGACGTATGGATGGAAAGAAAGGTATGGAAAGAGAAGTATGGAAAAAAAGAAGTATGAAAAAAGACGTATGGAAAGGGGCGTATGGAAAAAGGCATGGGGGTTCACCAGATCGCGGCGGAAGCGCGTTAAACGAGCTTGTGACTCACAGCTGTGTCACTGCGCCCCTGGTGTTGCAAACGATCAAAGCGGATTCCCCCGGGGTGCAGCTATAGTCTTCCTCAACCACCATGGCTGGCGACGCACTGAAAATCTTCTCCAGCGCGTATCCTGCATGAAAGGTTGACAGGGATGGGGGGAGGAAAGGACGGGTCTTGGCAGAGGTGGCAAAACAGCAGTGAGTTGGGAGGGGCGGGACACAGCGCCCGTGGGATGAGAGAGGATTCCTCCGGGCTGCAGCTGTAGTCCTCCTCCACCACCATGGCTGGCGACGCACTGAAAATCCTCTCCAAAGCGTATCCTGCAGGAAAGGTTAACAGGGATGGGGGAAGGAAAGGACGGGTTAGAGCCGGCAAAGCACCACTGGGAAAGGGTGGGGCGGGTCACAGCGCCCTTGGCGAAGCAATCGATCATTGAGGATTTCCCCAGGCTACAGCTGTAGTCCTCTCCAACACATTGCGGGCGACGCACTGAAAATCCCCTTCAGAGCATATCCTGCACGACAGGTTAACAGGGATGGGCATGGAGGGAAGGAAACCTTTGATTTGACGCACTGGAAACCTTAATATCCGTCGAGAAAGTCAGCAGGGGATGGGGGAAGGAAACGCTTGAGGCGCCTCCAATATCCTCTCCCAAGCGTATCCTTCAAGAGTGGTACTAGGAATGGGGCAAGGAAAAGGACGGGTCTTGGCAGAGCTGGCAAACGCCGCATTGAGCGGGTTATTGGCAGCAGTGGGGAGATTGAAGGAAGAGAGGGGCTCCTGGCACGTGATGGCAGGGAATGACTCATTTGAAAATGGGTGAGGGACTAGGCTTGTGCGTCATTTGAAAGAGGGTAGTAAGGGACTAGGCCGCCTCTGCATCACTTGAAAGCGGCGACAGCTGCAGCATCCGTAAATCGGGACGCTGGCATAGTAGGCACGCACGCGGCGCACATTAAACGGCGTTCACAGGTACTCCGAGTCTTTTCATGTAACGCATTGTGCGTTACATTTCAGATGTAAAAAAATCACGCGCCGAACTTCGAACGGGCGTCAAGAATCAGGCCCGTCTTTTTTTAGGTCTAGGAAGTCACGCACTTTGACCGGCGTCGAGAATCACAGGAGTCGCTGCTGCCGCTCGTCGAACCGGGCAGGTTAACGCAAGCATCAGGAGCCGAATCAGCAGCGCCGCGACTGGCGGCGCGAGATTACGCAGCGTCATCGTCGGCAGATAACCTCACGAGTAGTGCTACTAAGCAATGGATGGCACACGTGATATTCGCTCTTACTACGGCTGGGTTGGAATAGTACTAGTAGTATTAGACTGGCGCTGAAGGGACGTGTTTTATTGGTCCTAACTACCTTGTCACGGCCGTGGCGCGCCCGATGTACTAGTAGTAATGCAACTGAAGTTACCACAATAAGTGAGCAATGCTGCGTTCTGAGTGGACTCATAACACGAAGCTCCACAACTCGTGGACTCATAACACGAAGTTCCACAAAATGCGGCGAGCAATGCTGCTGCTATTATATCTCGGCTGGCGGTGTGCGGACAGTGCACGTGCTCATTCGCCCCTATGCTGGCGGAAGCTGGAGATTGAACCTCCGCACTCATTGGCCAGAACCCTCCCAGCAAACCTCACGCGTACAGAAAGTGAAGTTTTGAGACATCTCAAAACTTCACTGTCTTTGTGCATCGCACACCACGGGGCACCCATGTGTTTCTCGTCCTCCCCCTCCCCCCTTTCCCCACAAACACCCAACCAATTCCTCCCTCTGCTTCTCGCCATGACCCACCTTGCCTCACTCCGCTGACAGAGGCTTGGGACAACACTTTATCTGGCTCCCTTCAACTGACGATAACCACACTCTCTAACCTCAAGATCTTGTGAGCATGCCTTATTAGCACTTAGTTAAGAGTCTCTAAGTTCATCATCCGCCTTGTGACAAAGGTAAAGTATTGAGACGTCTCAAAACTTAACTTTCTACACGGAAGCTCGCAATTGAACCTCCACACTCATTGGCGAGAACCCTCCGAGGAAACCTAACGTGTACAGTAGCATTCCCATCCAATGCCCATCCCATCCCAGCCTCGCAGCGGTGCTCTGCACACCACCGCAGTCCATCTGGGCACTGGGGAAACTGAACCGAACTGTACAGTACTCACCGCTATTTTCATGTTCCCGATTATGCGCTTCAGTGAGTATATACCCACCGAGATCTGTACAGAACAATATCATTCTTAAAGCAGAAAGATTGAACCCCTTTCGAGTACGAAGACGCGATTGCGGTCGCAATCAAAATCTGGCCCGCGCGAGTGGGTAGTGTGTATGATCCACAGTGGGTCAATCAGGAGAGCATCATTTATATCGTTTTTATTCTGGGTGTCTGAAGGGTAATCCGAATCCTCGGGTGCCTTTGAAACAACTGTCGACAACGTGGAAATAGCGGCGGCTTCTGGCCAATCTGTCTCCCTCATTGGGAAAATGGGGTTCCTTCGAAACCAACATCGCCTACCGTACCGGACAATGCAACCCAGTCGCCACCATCCCGAGTCAGTACTGCAGCACGCCACCTCGTCGAGGATGTCAACGGCTTTGCATGCTTCAGCCATGCTCGCTAGCCGAATCTTCCCAGCAATGCAGCGGCTCGAGGTGCTTTAGAACAGTGACATGCTTTCTGAACTAAAGGCTCGAAAAAGGACGGAACTACACCCTGTTTCGCGCCACACTGACATTCGCTGTATTGACATGCCACCTATTCTGACATCAACGCGTCCAAAACGGTCCCAGAACATTGCATATAAGCAAAAATCGCCGCATTCAACCGTACGTGATAGCAATGTTCTGTCATAAAACGTTTTGTATCGTTCAAATGGACTGCACTTGCCCGCCACCTATCAGGGGTTCGACTGCAAGCACCAGGCCGCAAAATCCAAGCGCACGTTCGCACTGTAGCCCGGGCTCCCGATTGTCAGAACGTTGAGAGACAGGGTGTATTTCAGCAACTGGCTTCAGGGCGACAGAGTTACACAGTGACGGCCTCTACAGCATCTTGCCAGCACGGCTCACGAGCATAACGGTAGTACAATCGGTGCTCATTTCAAGAACACCAGGTAGGCGTGCGGCATGTGAGTGAAACGTGTTTCGGGCATTTCGCCACATTCGCCCTTGTCGCCACGGGCAAAAATGTGACTGTAATATGAAATTGCAATGTGAATCGAGACACAGGCTTTAATTTTGTAACCAGGTAAACTTTTCTGATGACGGGAAACCGTTGTTGTTTATGAGCTGTAGATGTTTTTCTTCCGCAAGCTGGTGACTATACCCCAAAATCGGCATAATTGTCAATTTAGCCACTCACGGGCAAAACGTTCGCGAGTGACTAAATTTATAAATGTAGGGAGCAAATGTTTTGTGTTAGGTTGAGCATCGACTGTATCTAATATCCAACAACAATCATGAAAGGTGTCGGTGATGAAAGGTGTCAGTGTCGGGATGTCAACGGTTTGGTTGGTACACTTCGAACCTGTTCTCTTTTCCACCCTTTATTTTAACTCCCATGTGTAAACTAGAAAGTTGTTTAGAACTAATTCAAAACAACAAATGCGGAGGTATGAATACAAGGTGAGGTGACATCAAAGTTATGACAGCAGAATTCATAGCATTTGTGTGTTTTATGGATAAAGCCTTCATAGAAACAAAACAGGCTACTGTAAGAGATCCCTAATGAAAGTCACGTATGTTGTGACGTTCTTTTTTATGGTTGCTTTATCTGAGGATTGTTGTTTGGTTCGACCTGCAAAGGTTCACTTGCTAATGATTTAGATACATCAAGGCTAACAAAGCAACATGCCAGTGTCAGAACATATAGCTTACTTATTTGTGTAGGCTATAGTGGGGTATCCCATAAGGGGTACAACCCAATTAGGGTTTCCTATTTGTACTCACTTCGTTCATACTCATTTCATTCTCGTTCAATTCTTCTCATGGAATCAGAGCAGGTCCCCTCCTAGGGACTGTTCCTAGGGCCCACCGAAGCGCGCCCCGAGGCGCGCGTTCCTTTTTTTTAGCGACCCTGCGTGTCGCCCCTACCGTCGCGCTCCCGCCGCTCCCTCCTCTTACGGCCGCCCGCCCTAGTGCCCTGACGGCCGCCCGCTCTAGCGCCCGAACGCCGCCCGCCCTAGCGCCCTGACGGCCGCCCGCCCTAGCGCCCTGACGGCCGCCCGCCCTAGCGCCCGAGCGCCAACCGCCCTAGCGCCTTGACGGCCGCCCGCCCTAGCGCCCTGACGGCCGCCCGCCCCAGCGCCCGAGCGCCGCCCGCCCTAGCGCCCGAGCGCCGCCCGCCCTAGCGCCCGAGCGCCGCCCGCCCTAGCGCCCGAGCGCCGCCCGCCCTAGAGCCCTGACGGCCGCCCGCCCTAGCGCCCGAGCGCCGCTCGCCCTAGCGCCCTGACGGCCGCCCGCCCTAGCGCCCGTGCGCCACTCGCCCTAGCGCCCTGACGGCCGCCCGCCCTAGCGCCCGAACGCAGCCCGCCCTAGCGCCCTGACGGCCGCCCGCCCTAGCGCCCTGACGGCCGGCCGCCCGCCCTAGCGCCCGAGCGCCGACCGCCCTTTCGCCCTTACGGCCGCCCGCCCGAACGCCTGAGCGCCGCCCGTCGTCGCCCCACCGCCCTAGCGCCCGACGCCCGCGAGCCGCCCGTCGCAGCCGCCCGTGAGCTCCCTGAGCCGCCCGCGCCGCCGTCCCTGAGCCGCCTGTGCAGCCGCCCGCGAGCCGCCAGCGAGCCACCCGTCGCGACACCAGCGCCGCACGAGCCGCCCGTACAGCCCAGCAGCCCGAGCCGCCCGCGCCGCCCCAGCAACCCGAGCCGCCCGAGCCGCGCGAGCCGCCCGAGCCGCCCCAGCCGCCCGAGCCGCCCGAGCCGCCCGAGCCGCCCGAGCCGCCCGAGCCGCCCGCGCCGCCCCAGCAACCCGAGCCGCCCGAGCCGTGCCGCTGTTCCTGAGCTGTGTTCCTCTGCTGCTGACCTACCCGACTCTCCCAGCCCGGTGAGACTTTCAGCTGCTGCCATGGCCACCCCCAATGTTCTTACTTTTGACGCTGAGGGGAGGGCAATTGACTTTGCCGTCTGGATTGAAGACCTGCAGCTGTACTTACTGTGTGATGCGATAGATGAGGTCTCTCTCTTTGACTTTGTCTCTGGCGCTGTCCCTGCCCCACCTGCTGATGCTGACTCTGCCGTTCGCTCCAAGTGGGCGACCCGCGATGCTGCTGCACGTCTTGCTGTGCGTCGCCACCTCCCTTCCTCTGAGCGTGCCCACTTTAGTCAGTGCAAGACCGCTCAGGCCTTGTACGACGCTGTAGTTGCACGCTACTCCTCCCCTTCCTCCGCTACCCTTAGCCGCCTCATGCTACCGTTTCTCTTCCCTGACCTCGCCTCCTTTCCCACTGTTGCTGACCTCGTTACCCACCTCCGTGCTAGTGACACCCGCTACCGCGCTGCCCTTCCTGCTGAGTTCCGCGCTGCGAACCCTCCTCCCATGTACATCACTCTCTACTTTCTCGTCACCCGTCTCCCTGAGTCCCTTCGTGTCGTTAGGGACCAGTTTCTCTCTGTCTGTCCCACCACTCTCACTGTCGACCTCCTTGAGGAGTCCCTGCGAGCGGCTGAGAAGAGTATTGTCGCTGTAGGGGCCTCTCGGGGTGACCCTCGCACCCCCATCTTTGAGGGGTGTGGTCCTTCCCCCCTGCTGCCCTCTGTCGCCTCTGCCGCTGCGGCCGACCTCACTGGTTTTGAGTCGGTCGGCGCGGCGTCTGCCCCCAGCGGCAGACGCCGCTCTAGCAAGGGCAAGGGGGGCAAGGGAGCGGGTGGAGCTAGAGGGGGCGGTGGAGGAGGCGGTGGGGGTGGCGGGGGGAGTGGGGGTGGCGGTGGGGGTGGTGGCGGGAGTGGAGGTACTGGTGGCGGCGGTGGAGGCGGAGGTGGCGGCGGCGGTGGTAGCGGAGGAGGCGGTGGGAGCGGTGGGAGCGACGGTCCTGGTGGGGGAGGTGGCGGTGGAGACGGGGGTGGCGGTGGAGGCGGGGGTGGCGGTGGAGGCGGGGGTCGGAGTGGCTCGTCCCAGCGGAGCAGCTCTGGGGGTGGTCAGCGCCAGCAGCAGCAGCAGCAGCAGCCGCAGCAGCAGCCACAGCAGCAGCAGCGCTCTCGCACCGTCCCCGCCCCTCAGCAGCTCC